GTTCTCTTCCAATCACACTAATTGTAAAGAAAGGATGGGAGGTATTTGGAGGTTACGAATATAAAAATTTAAGCATCTTACCAGGTCTTGTAACCGTCTCACTTCATCATTCAACTTAGATATATCCTCCTGTTAATCATGATGAAGCTCGTTAGTAGATGGAAATTATCAGTACCATGATCATTTACGAAGTATTTAAACAAAAAAAAATTGCATTAACAGAAGAAAAGTCGAGAGAAATCAGAATGTCGGAAGCTTAGAATGAGCATACTTCAAAAAAGTCACCTTCACAAATGTAGGTATTCATATATTCAAATTGACCCTTTGGTGTACGACAAAACGAATTCAAGGACATAGAGATTCATGAAGTCTAGTAAATTACACAGGAATCATCATCATCATGTAAACTGATAATCATAACAATATTAAAAATCCTGTGCTTTCAACAATGTTATTACAGAATGCTCCGTAAAATTCAATGCAATACATTGCATAGGGAATAGGAATGGAGCTAAACCAATTGCCCCATGTAAGGCAAACCAAGATAGATCGACCTAGAGTCTTTAGGCAACCAGATACACCCATCAACTCCAAAAATCAATCTAAAAAGAAACCCAAAATAAAAAAATCAGAAGAGACAGAAAGGGCTGCAAATTTACCTCGTGCTCGCGAAATACAGCCTGTCGATCCCAGAAGAACAGGGTTCCAGAAACAAAGACGATGAAGAGAAAAGCAAGACGCCTGGGTCGTTTTAGATAATACGCCGGATTCACATACCTCCATCGACTAGATGACGATCTACTCCGAACCATTTTAACGATTATGTATAGATTATATCATATATAAACTGTTGTTCGATGATGATTGGGATAAATGAGATAATGAGCATAAAACCATGGAAAATGGCATCCTACATCGGAGATGAGCTTGTATCAGAAATACTATTGGATGAAAGAAGATGTATGGCGCCATGGCGGGCGGTCCACACGCGGAATCGATTTGAAAGGAATGCAATCCGGGCACGACAGGGAAACCAGACCCAACCCAAAAAATTAGTTTTCTGTCAAAGCAAGGGTAATGAATGAAAAAATTGTTAGTCATCAAGCAGTACTTGAGTGAGTGGTTATATGATACAGTTGCATGTACTAAAAACAAGCCAGAGCTGAGTATTACGGAGTACTTATTTTAAAGTTACTCATTCTAGTACAAACATAGGTATTCATTTTAAAATAATAAAGTATTCATTTTCACACATTTGTTCGATATAATTATAATATTCATTTACAAATAACATAGTGTTCATTCTTAAATAAAGTAATACTCATCTTCAAATAATGTAGTGCTCATTCTTAAGTAAAGTGCACTTCAATCCCTTAATTCCTTTTACATTTGAAAAATGTAGTGTAATTAAGCTTACCATCATCACCTGCATAGCATCTGGGCAAATCAACCACGCATCTTCAGGTTTCTTGCAGTCGCCTACATCATCTACATGGATACGATACTTCCTCCATTTTGCCACATCAAAAAGGGTAGGGCAGCCCAATTCGGCTCGGATCTCTACTCCCCAATCGTCATCATCTTCTTCTTCTTCCACGATCCACGCCGACAGCTCTCTACAGGAATTGCTCTGTACTCTCTTTGTTTTCCGATTGATGTGCTTCTGCTAATTTCCTCTGGTTGTACCGTACAACCAGCTGTAGGATATAATTTCCGCCGGTTCAAGGTCCAGTTAACATAATCAATAATCATCAATAATCAATAATAATCATAATATTAATAACAAACAACGACCTAGCATTGAATGTTAATGTTAGAATGCATGAGTTCAACCATTTTTGTACTGTTAAGTGTTGACTCGCAGGTTTTGATAATTGATAGACACAAGTTATTCAATTCAAGAATAAAAGGCTACATTGACAAACTCAAAGACTTAAAGTGTCAAATCCCTTGAAACTTTCAAGAAGGAGCATACGATTTAATGAAGACCAAGACGCCTTATGGAGCACCTAATGGAAGTGAAGAAAAAGATTTCCGACGACTTTTAATTTATTTGAGTCTCAAGAAATATTGTAAGGATGACAAAAATATTTTTCACCCTAAAATTATTTTTATGAGAGTTAATATAAAAATTATAGTTATTTTGGAGTAAGTTGAAAAATCATTTTTTAAATGTTCAAAAATATTTTTTTTGAGTCACTTGCAAAAAGTGTGTCAAAATTTCTTAAAATATCTTTTTAAGATATACATTTTTTTTGTGGGTAAGAAAAATATATTTAAAAATTTTTTTGTGTACATCATTTGACACAAAAATTATTTTTGGGACTCATTTCTACACCCAAAATTTCTTCATTTATTTAAAACTTGAATTTGAATAATATTTGAGTTGATAGAGAGTCTTACCCCTAATTTTTTTGTTGGAAACAAACCATATAGGCCAAAAACGTACTTCATCTCGCACACATGCTTGGGTCCTTCATGTTGGGAGTTTCACATTGCATGGATCGATCACCGTTATTAGATCGATCACCTTGTGCGCAAAAAGGATTTCGTGGGATCGATCACACGAACTTTTGTTCGTAATTCTCCCCAACAAAATTTCAGCCATTGTGATCGATCACAAGGCCTGGATCGATCACTTGGGGATCGATCACAAGGCTTGGATCGATTACCTAAGCTGAAATTTGTCAAAAATATTTTATTTCTTTCCCCAAGGGATATATTCCTTCAACTCTTATTTAAACAACTTTCCTTGGTTATTTTTACTAACAACAAGCAATCCTTAAACACCTCATTCTTAAGGTTATAATCCTCCATTTAATCCTTCATCCATTTCATATATTTTGAGAGAGAATTATTTATTTTTAAGAGAGTGTTCTTGTCATCCATGGAGCTTATATCTTTTCACATTACTACTCTTGTGAGAGCTATTGTTGTGAGGTTGAAGAAGGTTATTCGTCTTGTTGTACAAGACTTATGTGACTTAAGTCTTAGGTGTAAAGCCTTGTACAGGGCACATCTAAGAGTGGTTGTATTGAGTTAAATTTTAGTTTCAGATTTTTCAGTTATAAGTTAAAATTAAAGGATTAAACTGACCGAATAGATACAAGACATATGATAAAAGAACAAATCAACAAATTAAAAACGAGAGGGATGAAATTAAAACGCTAGTGGAGATATGTAGAATTATTCATATTGATGTAGAATAATAAGGTAGAGATTCTTAATCATATCATTTTCAATGTGGTTAAAAGATATGTCGGTCAACCGCAAATCAGAAATCAAAAATCGGGGGATTAACCGTGAAATCAAAAATTAACAACCGAAGTAACTCTCATACCAAGTCTACATAAAACTGCTCACAAACAGGGTATTTATAGCTAAAAAAATATTTCGTTCTTTCCCAGGTGACCAATCGCAATAATCCTACTCGTACTCAGCCCAACCCATCAATTCCCTATGGTTCTCTTCTCGGGTCCCTTCTCGAGTTTTGACCTGGCCTTAATGTCGGCCTAGGTTTTATTCTCGAGTCTGGGCCTTAATGTCAAGTTAACTTGTCTGGATAAGTATACTAGGCTATTTATATTGATTATTACACATTGGTCCAATATATCCATCAGGTAGACTACAAAAAAGGCAATCTGTACCCTCTGCCACGGGATCGAAGAGTAACTACAATATTTCACATTGTTGTGAAATAATGAGGATTGGGTCGAGGGAAGCGGAAGCAATGGCAATCAAAGAAGCTTTAAGTTGGATTAAGACAAAGGGAAGGAAGAGAGTGATCATTGAGTTACATTGGTGGAAATAAGTGGTTGATAGCATAAATTGCTCAATGAGGGACTCATCATATTTCTTTTCAATTATTTTGGATGGTAAAAATATCTTAGCTGCCTGTGGTAGAGACTTTCAATTTTGTTTCATCCAATGCTTTGCTAATACGGCGGCGCATGTGTTAGCGCACACACCTAATTTTTCCCATAATATGGAGGGAATGAGTTAGTTTACCACTGACAACATTTCCTATTTAATTTGATCCCATTTTTTCCAAAAAAAAAACTTAGCTCAAACAATCAAATGAGTTAGAGGCACTTTGATGAATTTTAAGTTTGTGATATAACATGACTTCTTAGGCCCCGTTCCGTTCAACTTATTTTTTCTTATTTTTTCTTATTCTTATTAAAATCAGATCAGATCAGACCAGACCAGATCAGATCGAATCAGATCAGATCAGATCAGATCAAATCGAATCAGATCATATCAGATCAGATCCAATCAGATCAGATCAGATTCAATCAGATCAGATCAGATCCAATCCAATCAGATCAGATCAGATCAGATTCAATCAGATCAGATCAGATCAGGACTTATTAAAATCAGATCCCATCAAGTATTATTATTATTATTATTATTATTATTATTATTATTCTTATTATTATTATTATTCTTATTATTATTTGTTGTTGTTATCATCATCATCATCATCATTCATTATTATAATTATTATTGTTCTTAAAAATGAAAAAGAATAAACTTTAGAAATAGGTTAAATAGAAAACTGAGAAAGTAATCCTTAATTATTAGACGTCGGAAAAATTAGTTTTAAAATACATTGACAATGTCAATCTAATTCTACTTTTAAAATATATTTTTATTGCTACTTGTAATTTGAGTTTCTAAAGTTTTGATCTTTTATAAGGATGTGATATTTTAATAAAAATACTATCTCTTCTATATATTGATTATCTAAATTTAATTACTTTTTAATGTATATCTAAATTAAATATTTATTCTAATGTATATATGAAGTAATTATTAAAATATTAAATTAATATTCTAATTTCACAAAAAAATAATCATAAAATAAAAATATTATTACATTATAATATGAATGATTATTCTAATATATGAATTAACTATTTTTATTTTATTAAAAAATAATCATTAAATAAAAAATATTGATTATATTATAATATGAATTATCATTACAATTTTCAAACGTTATTATAAAGTCAAATCAAATTATTGATTTGAAATTTTAAATTAAATCATAATTAATCAGATCAGATCAGACCAGATCAAATGCAATCAGATCAGATCAGATCCAATCAGATCAGATCAGATCCAATCAGATCAGATCAGATCAGAACTTATTAAAATCAGATCAGATCAGCAAAAATAAGTTGAACGGAACGGAGCCTTAAACCCCTAAGAAATCGAGGTAGGTTATTAAAATTAAAATGGAAGTATTTGAACAAATCTGTACTAATAGTTTTTTATGATAGACGGGGAGTGAGAGAGCCAACAGGTGGCCAACAATAGGATGTGGTTGGTGAGGGTGTGTGCAAAGAGGGGGTTGCCTGCCCAATGGTGGTCAATGATTGGGGGATATCAAAATTTGATTGAAATCTCTCAAATTTGAGAGTAATCCAAACACTCTCATTAAGAAAGTTGTGATATCAAGAGATGTCAAATATGATCTCTATTTAGACTTCTCCAAACACTGTTCTATTATCAAGAAACGTGGCATACCATATATTTTAGAGGTGTTTTGCAAGCTAAAAAGGTAAGGGTCGGGAAATTCCAAATATCAAATTTCAAAAAATTATTGTTCGGTGAACAAAAAGGTTTGAACTTCCAAATTTGGAGAAATGAGAAAAATACAAATATGGTCTTGATATCTCCTCTAAATCATTGATATCAAAAAATTGAATCGGCTATATCATGATAATCCTTTCCTTCCACACATGTCTCTCTCTATCTCTCTCTCTCTCTTTTCTTCCTCATAAAGGTTTGTCTTCTTCATCTCTTTCCACGATACATGCTTCAATTAGTTCAGTACTTCACCATCTCTCTCTTATTTCTTCATCTATGTTCCAAAGGACTTCTTCGGCTCTGTTCCATCCCTTTTTTTCTTTATATTTTTATTTGCATTTTGCCTCCTTCCAAAATTCAAGAGACTACGATTTTATTTCGGGTAATTTACCTAAATAGGACTAAAACATAATGACTTTCTCAATATAGAAACATATGTTTTTATTTCCCAATGTAGGACAAAAAAAGAAATGTAGGACCATTGGTCATTATCTATTAG